TGCACGCAGTTTGCCAAACAAAATTTCTGCATAACACCGACCTAAGTGTACATACGCACCATGCAGAGCGCCGCTCTGAGAACGGCGACAACACACACATACATACATAGTACAAATCGCGTGCTGTGGTGTTGATGGATATTCAACAGTTGAAAGCGAATTTATTTGCCTGGGTGTAGCTGAGTGCGCAAAGATGCTTGCCACAAGTCGTTGATATCCGGAGATGGTCGGGTTCGAACTCCACTGCCGGCAACATGCAAATTAAATTTTTTTTTTAGTTTTTGTCTTGATTATTCACTTCGCGGATGCTTTTTCAGTATGAACGAGGTCATTTTAATATGCGCGTAATTGAATTGAATATTTACCAATATACAGTACTTTCGTTGACGTTTATAGTAAGATCAGTTACGTTTCTATTTGATTTTAATATATTTTCCCCTCAGTGTAGGGTATTGTTCTGGAGGACAGCCTTATGAAAGGAAACTTTTCTCAAAAGAATAGGGACCTGATTTATACACGCTCCAACGGGCAGGATAATTGTGTACTAAAACGCTTGGTGCTTACAACAGTAAGGTCACACGTTTTTTTTTTGTTATCTCTTAGAAGGGGGGACGCTGGTCTTCTAGTTGGGTTACAAACGCGATCTCTAGAAGGAATGTGAAGACTGTGCAGCTTCGTTGGCCGGCTGTAGCTAATGCTCTCTACGAAAGCACGCAGTGGCTATTTAACCTAGTCTGATCCCAGTTGAGCTGCATGTTCACATTTTAGAGATTTCGCTATGGTTTACAAACAACCAGATTTTTCACCTTCTCTTCAGTCAAAGCTGTAGGAAACTTAATCCTGTAAACAAGCTAGATTTCCTTTAAGAAACATTGGGTTACCGCAAGATCATTTGCGGCAGAGGTTCAATAATTCACGTATAGATCGAAGCTGGACGCCAGTGTTGGAGGAGGTGTTTACGGCCAGGAACTCTCAATAAATCTTGTGTTCAGACTGCCGAATCTCTGCAGCGTGTTTGGGAACCCACGCGTTGCGACTTAATATCGTCACGGATCCCTACTGCCGCAGCTGTTTGGGAGACGAAGTAGAGTCATCTCAGCACTTCCTTCTCAGCTTCCCGGTATTCGCTAGACTAACCATCGATAGTTTAACCATCTCGATTCATCAACACACCCGAAAAGCTCTCCGTAGTGGACATCAGCCGGCTGCCTAACTTTGAACCCTGTAGTTACCGTACAAAGTATTTGTAAAATCTGGTAACAAAATGCACAATCTAATTAATGTCTAAGTGAGTCCCTCGGGTCTGCCGGTATAACCTAAGTTCATTGCGTCATAAATCTATTCAATGGAAATACTTAAATACAAATTAGATACAAATCTTACTATTTTCGCTAAGAGCCATTGTTGTTTGTGGTATGCCTAGAGTGAGCGATATATTGAGTGAGTCATCTCGAAATTCGGCACTTCGTTCCTCAAGTTGACTGGGCGTTCCGGTACTGCAAACCGAAGAAAAAAAAATTTATAAAAATGGTTCAGGAATACAGCACCAAGCCTAGTGTCACTTACGAGCTCGTCCCGGTCTCCGGCTGTTCGCCAACGGTTGGGGATAATTCACACCCAATGGGAAGCGATGTCGGGCCCGACTGAATCCCCATGGATTGACAGCAGCAGCATCCCTGCGCAGGTGTGCCCGATTCTGACGCGCCTGCAGCGCCTGTAAACGTGATTCTTAGATTTAATAAATAAAAAAATATTAGCTTCTGAAGAGCTTGTTGGATATGATATGAAAAAAGGTAGGAGAAGGATGTAAGAGGGACTGATAAATAACGGATTTGAGCTACGAGTACTAAATACAAATGTTAGAATGAAAGAACGAAGCATTACCACAAGCTGCGGTAGCCATTAGTACACGATTAGCCAGTTCATTGCGTATTTCTGCATCGGGCAATTGCGCACCGCCGACACCATTTGTAATAGCCACAGTGCCGTTAAGCGCAATGGCTGCGGCAGCCGCCGATGTGGTCGGACGATCGCAGGTATGTGTGTGCGGTAGAATGCAGGCGGCGTGCCCACAACCGTGCTCGGGATGGTGATGATGGCGACGCCGTTGACGTTGGCGTGCATCACGTATCTCCTGTTCCATGCCAACCTTGATTACTTCCTCATAGTCGGGTGGTGCTTCATAGCTGGGCGGTTCGTCGGGCGTCATTTCCTCTTGGCGGTCTGGTGTGGGAAAAAGTAACTTACTTATAAATTAAGCGAAAGAATTGGTATTTAAAAAATGACATACTTAGCGGATGTAGTATTTTGTTTCTACATTCCTAGTATTTTGAAACGAATTTCCGTCATCCCTTGTGCCAGGTTCAACGCCGAAACTGGGGCTTGTCCCAAACCAAGCTTGACAATAGATAATGCAATTCGTTCCAAAATACAGCATCTTCGCTTATAGATACAACAGGAGCTCATGAAATCTATTTACCTAGTAGCTCACTAATAGTTTGCAGATGACTTTGCAGTTCGCGTTGATGGCGTGCCCTCACACCCATGCGGTACAATATGACCATCCAACCCGTTAGTACGGCAAAAATACCCAGCGTACTTATTATGAAAATACCAGTAGCTGTTTTCAAGTCAGGATACTGCTCTATTTTGGGAAAATAATAATTCGGCTTATGTGAATACCAGCGTCGATCGTTTTGTAAATGCGCCCAATCCTCTTCGCATGATTCTGGTTCATCAGAACCGTCACCACAATGATCAAAGCCATCACAGTGTAGCCTTATTGAGATGCAATGATTATTACCGCAAAGGAATTCCGAACCAATATAACAATCTTAAATAAAAATTTAACCCATTAATGGCCATACTTAAGTAAATGCTTTAACTTACTTAAATAGTTGAAAACACTGTAGGAAATGGCCAGTTTCGATGACATGCCGAAGACACCACGCAGGCGTATATAGTAGCCTGTTAGCACCGGCACAATGTGACTCTCTTTACTCATGCCATTATTAGGCCACACAACACTCTCAATTTCAGCAGCATCCGATGTTGTACCCTGACGTATGGTTAGATCCGAACGTGAAGCCATGCCATGAAATTCTTCAACGCGCAGCGAAATGTGTGTCTTCATCATCATGTAATTGTTGCCAGGCTTAATTATCCATATGCAATCGTAAAATCTTACATCGGTGTTATTTTCGATCATATTCATCATAGTGATTGCGCCACCTGGTCCGGAAACCATGCCGCCACAATCTGCAAAATGAACACAAAAAAACAGCAAAAACATCATATACTAGGGCGTAATACATATGAAGTCGTATGCTACAGATTAAGCTAGTTTACACGGAATGCCAGCGAGACCATCACTCTACTATATACCGCGTGTTCTGAATAGTTTCCTTTCACTTGAAACAAAATAAAAAAGCAAATAACACCGTTGTTTACCAATGGTGCACGTAAGAGTTAAGCCGCTTGTAAAAGACAGTGTACGAAGACAGATAGATTACCCACAAAAGAACAAAGGAACCGAAGAATAATACATACATATGTATTACAGGCTTACAGCCAAACAAGTAAAAATAAACACAAAAAGTCAGTTGCATTCATGAATTGTAGGACGAAAGCGATTAGGTCAAATGTTAACCTCCTCATGGCTATGCGATATCTATTTATTTCTCCTTGCCCGTCTATATTCTCGCCTTTGTTTTCCGCAATAGTCCGCGAGTATTTACTTTTCCAACGTATGAAGCAAAGAGGAAATTATCGTTAACGTTAATCAATAGCACAATTTTATTGCCCCTGTCAAATGGCAGGGAAGACCCACAACTTATTTATTGTTAAATACATTTTGCAGGGCTCTTGGAATAATACATATAATTTCTTGCTTACACCTCTGACGCGGTAAGAATGTAGTGGCTTCGTAGGCGCATACACTAGTAGTACTTGTATTAACACATTGAGTGGCAAGCGAATCTGACGAAAATATCCAACGGAGCCCAAGCAAGTTTTCATCAAACACAAAATATACCTCAGTGTTCTTATCATAAAACAGACAAATATTACTCCAACGCTATGAAAATTGGAGCAAAAATGTATTGCAAATATCAGGCTACTACCCTGAAAACATTCGAAGTTTCATCGAAAGCGAACGACAAGGTCGAATGTGAAACAATAGCTGTCGTATGCTTAAATGCGACGTGGCACCCCAGGAGGTATTAATTAGGTGTCGTCTTACAAAAGCGTGCCATATGGCACTCAATGTGTTAAGATACATAGTATGTAAGTGTGTCTATTCTGCATGGGAAATACTACTGACATAGATTAGTATAATCTTGATTTCACGTTTTATTGAAATAAATCCTCTAGAATGGCACACTCCTAAGGGAACGTGCAACACTATGTAAGACGTGATGCCGTAAACGCATGTTTCTGTCTTTTCTAACGTCATCAAATTTATTTATATACATACTTACATATAAGTAAACGTAAGTAGAATAAGCGTTCGTCTTTGGCGGCCGGCGTTTAACAAGACTTGTCCAGAGCCAAGTTGGAACGTATACAGATGACGGCTTTCATGCTTATCACGGGAGCACCAACGGTGGACCTCTACAGCGATCCAGCCGTGGAGAGACGTCAGATACGGACACGCAAAAGTCCTTGAAACTCTGCCGAATATTCTATAGCAATGCCGAAAATTCTACCAGTCCACTACTCTGTTTAGATAACAAATTATCCGTAAGCATACTTGAGAGGACCGAATAGAAATTGGCCACATACCGGAACTACGGTCGGTGGCTAGATGTTTATACAGATGGCTCCAAACGAAAGGGTGGTGAGCGGCATTTATTCTGGTGAACTCGCACTCAACCTCAGCCTACGCTTGCCGAAACATTGTAGTATTTTTCAAGCAGAGCTAAACGCGATAATATAAGCCACTCGGCGCCTCATGACTACTGCTTCTCCCGAGCGGCCTATCACTATATATCAGTCAAGCTGCTATTAACTCTCTAAAATCTAACGGAACAACGTCCAAAGTAGCAGAAGGATACTCGACCTGCTGGCATCAAAATGCATTCCTGCAAACTGCACAGCCGACGAGCTGGAAAGGAGGGGGACACAAATATTCGAAGACAAATCTGCTCAAGACGCGGACATATGTATATATCACTAACCTTTCGCAAGCGCGGAACTTAAACGTGGGTCATAGAAACCAACTGCCATACTGCCAGGCGAATTAGGCCAACAATCTAGGTAAAGCGATCCACTGCTGTCACACGGCTTGACCGCTCTTCCCTCAAATTAGCAGTCGCGGTAATCACCGAACATTTTCTGATGGGACGCATGGAAAGAGGTCGGAATACCCAACTAACGATTTTTGTCGCAGTTGCAGATACGAGAAAGATGTGGAAAGCATCGCGAAGACCACTGTCCGTTAACCAAACCTTTAGCCAATACTTTTGGATTGTATTGCAGACTTGAACTAAGCGAATATTTCAATTGGTGAGGTGTATCCACAAATTCCTATGCAGCATATACTTAGACGAAAGGCAAATGATTTAAAATAATTCCTTCCTTTCAAATCAACGGTTGGAACGTACATATATTTAAGAAAAATGCCCCTAACCTTCATTTAGCTGTATCAAGTAGATCATCGAAATCTATCCTCGAATTCTAAATTCACTCAGATTTCCTGCATGCCTCACGAAGACGAGGCGGCTAACGTAGAGAGTCCTTTCGAGTATTAAATTTTAGCAACCCAATCTGAGCATATTTGGCTCGCACGAGATTGTTTAGTTGCGTTTTTTTTAAGAACTGCGTCGCTTCAAGATTTGCTTCCTTGGTAATGATTTTTCCAGATGGCGAAAGTTGAACGAACGCCTGCCTGCACTGCGAAGGCGTGTATGCTTTAGACTCACACATGAAAAGCGTAAAGTCCCTTATCGAATGCCATAGATCTCTGCATGAAATGGCTAAGCATTGTTTACTTAATTCAAATCATAATTGTAAAGTTCACAAATAGTTAAGGAAAGCTACGACCACCCACATCCGTCCAGAAAAGGATCGATAGGAATACGAAGGGCAGCCTTTAAACAGTAAAAGATCTAATAGCAATGAATGCAGGAACTACTTATTATGCTGTGAAACCGCCTGGACCACTAGGCTTTCCTATAATAGGAAACGTACAGAAAGGAAATACCCTTTCTAATAAGGACTCTACGGTCCATTACCGTAGCTGGGAAGCTGAATGCGCAGTTTTAGCTTCCCATTGATGACAAAGTTGTCGCGACGGGTGTAGAGTGCATTAAGGTCGTACTAACTTTCAACATAGTAAAGGCGAGCAATATTTGGGACTAAGAAGCCGCAAGAATTACTGCCCTTCCCAAATGACCTCCCTAAAGCAGAAAACCCATATTGGTGGTTAAGTTCAAAGATACAAGAAATGTTCTTCCCCATAAGGATGCTTGTAGGACTAGGGGTAGATCGGACTGTACAGCTTTAAGCTCAGGAAGATAACGTAAGCTCGATAAAACAAAAAAAGCATTGGAGAGGTTCTACTGTGGAGCAGAATTGGTTGGAGCGCTAATAAAGTTGTAGTACTACTTCTGAAATATTCCATAACTGCGGCCACAATTTGAAAGCCACGAAGTCTTTTACTCAAAGCAGGTCTTCTAAATGAGATTTATCCGTAAAAATCATGCTGAAACTTAAAAGCTGCAAGTTTAACTGGTTAAACTAAATTCGTTTCTAACAAGGGGCTCAAAGAGGCTGTATGAATCTTTTTTTATAATGAATCGTTTTCAGTTCTCACTATTGAATGATTTTAAGTAACTTCCCCAATTGTTCATTTCTTATCTAAAGTTACACCAAAACTCACCTGTATATGGCACTAAACGATCTTCCTTCAATTGCTTGGATGAAACGAAAGATATCTCGGCACGAAATCCGACACCCGTATTACCGTTACCACGGAATTGCAACAATAGTGATTTACCATTGCTAATTGTGATGGGCGGACGAAAATGTTCACCGGTGTACGAGTCCAACATTTGACCGTTCGAATCGAATATTTCCAATGTTGAGGTTAGGCCCAACTGAAAGTCGGTAAAATCCAGTCGCACTTGACAGTTTTCCGATTCACATGTTAGTATATGTTCAATGCCGTAATCACGAGGATATGGCATAGGAAAGTAGGGAGTTGAGATAACATGCGGCTCATTTTTGGAATAGTTGCTGATTATGGCCTGGCGCGGTGAGCCGCTAACAATTTTAACATTTCCTGAGTTTGAATAAGTATACAGAAAAAACAAAACCGTTTTGGAAATTAGCGAATGTGTCTACGAATATTAAACGCACGCATACTTTCCGAGAAGTACTGCAGCGAAAAGACATGACTATTGGTCGCGCGATAGAAGAATTTCAGCAACAACGTACGCGTTTTACTGCGAAACACTTTGCCATCGCCACAGAACTCCTGGCCCGAAATCGTTGTGTCATACGGTGGTTCTGAGAATTGAATATGTTCGCAAGGACAAAGTGAGGATTTTCCAATACCCGAATTGGCAATGCGTTCGCACGTCTTAGAGAAGTTGATGTGCGTGAATGTTATGCGAATGACGCACTCAGCGCAGGTCACCAGCTCCAAATTGCACTGATACCAAATATCTGTGCTGCTGCGATTCTTCATTTGGCTAGGATTTGTGGGCGAGAACAGGGTGCTCTATAGGGAGTGAGGAGAAATAATTTAAAAAATATTGATACGCAAAATAACGGACACGTTACACACTCGAAAAGCGGATGTGGTGACATTACGCGCATGCAAATCGCCGCGTTCGCCCAATTCCAGGAAATGTCGACGTCCATTCCAATGATTGCAGATATCGAGATCCCGAAAAGTGTTCGAAGGATAACCGCTCACTGACGCCAACAAACATGTTATCACCCACAGCAGTGGAGGGAATACGAAGGATACACTTACTAATGGTCGTTTGAGATTTGATAGCATTTCCTTGATTTCAACGCGCTGTAAGTAAGTATTTAAACACAAAAACAAAATGATGGCGATTTTATTGAAATTTCGAAAAGAAATGCGGGTCCTTGCGAGTGTTTTGGTTTTTTTTTTATTATTAAATTAATGTTTTTTATTTTGCTTTTTACGCGTGTCTATCGGTACACGCATGTTGCTCGTTTGGGTATTTCCGAAAGACTGCAACTAGCACTGCGACAAATCTAATAAAAGCTGACTTGTGCATAGCTCAATTGAAACCCCAAAAGTGCTGGTCAGTTAGCGCTGAACGATGTATGTGGATTTGTAGAAAATAAAACGAAAATTTTGCTCAACTCTGGTGTTTTTTATTGTTCTTGCGAAAGAGTGTAAAAAGCTGGTGCGATTGCATTTCGACGAGCTTTGATGTGAGGTTAAAGACCTTTCGAACGGGAGCTATTGAGCGGAAAGTGAATACAAGCCTTAGAACGGAAGATGTAACGCCAGAATAATCAATGAATGGGTTACGTATGCAACTGCTCAAAAATAATTTTTAACGCATGTTTTCCAATTGATTTTCAATGAACGTACGAGTATGTACTTCTTTGTTTTCGATGCCATATCGCCAACGTACTGTTTAGGCTTTATTAGTGAGCCTTAGACCTGGTTAATTCACCAGAGACGAGGTATTCCAAAAAATGTGGACGGAGATTTTGGTATATCTCTCACTCCAGGAGCGAAACTCGTAGGTAATCTATCACTTGCAGTTACCGCTAAGCGAAATTCATCAGCGCAGAAGTTTAACTCCGTAAGACCAAGGTAGGTCGTTATTGTTATTAGGTCGAGTATACTCGTACTGCGACCTAAAAAGATCTATTATGTTCAACCGTAATTGTAATCATTCCAACTGTAGCCAATTTAAGAAGTTAAGCACCTTCATGTTCCAACACCGACCACAGCATTATTCTATTGTGGACTGCTAGGTGGTTAAAAGAGTTTACAACAAGCCTTGATGCAGTTCTAAATGAGTCTACGGTACAGCTGGGCAGCGTCTACCCGGCGGGCGACTGCGCGTCGTATTCGCGTATACATACACGCTCTGCTTGAGAAGGCAGCGAAAGCTTCATTCCACTGCACGACTTGTTCGCACACGTGACATCAATTCCACGCACACTGGTCTAAGGCCTTTAAAGCTGCTGACTATCCGGCGTAATATTTATACTGGCATCATTTGTCCCTCAACGAAGACGGCTGGGTTTGTGGTCATTGCCAGACTTTTCTGGTTATTATCGCTTCATATTCTGACCTTGTAAGGCTTGTCGAAGTATAATTTCGGTAGCATAGTGTCTGTCAGCCTGATAGTGGGATCATATAGGAATGGCTTGAGAACCTCCAAGTATCGCCGAAGATCCACACTTTTCATGCTGATTAATAATAATAATATTATGGCGCTTGCTCTTTTGCTATGTATTCGGTTGAGTATCTTTTTTCTTAATTGTGGTGTGCGGCTTGATATTGTTACACAAATGGAGGGACCTACAGTTTTACGTCACCTCCGAACGGCAGACGGTTTTATATGAGAAGCTTTTCTAATGCTGAAATACACACTCAGATGTTTGCCAATGCCTGCCGAGGGCCGACCGCTATTAGAAAAAGCCTTACTTATTTGAGGTTGCTCTGACCAGGAACCGAACCTTGGTACTTTGCACCTCTCATCACTCAGCTATGGCTGATTACATTGGCAGATGAAACAGATTTGCACTCAAATATGCTGTGCTCATCCTTATTTTATGGAGCTCAGTTTTGGGAACGCTAAAATTTGCGTTAAAGCTAAGCTCTCACCGGGTCATAAGCGCGTTCAAAATAACCTGAGACGATGCTACATTCGTGATGACGCATGATATCTAGCGGATAAACAAAGAAGGATCTAGAAAGAAAAGAGAGCTGCATCACTTCAAATATGGTAAGATCAGGTAGAGCATCCATAATTTTGATTTCATGTGTCGCAGTTTTCCAGTTTCTTAGCGTCTAAGGTAGCGCAATATAATGTCAGTTCGGGCACAACGTGTGCTGTCCGACTGCAAACGGTTCGACTTTCTGCACGTCAGAAAAACTACTTAAATGCTTTATTGAACTCAGCGTGGGTAAATATGAAAAATGTTCTTCAAAAATCCTGAAATTTCAAAAATACACCCAAAGTACACACAATACCAAATATAAAAGCCTTTATTGTAGGTGTACATAAATTTATAAACAATTTGCTTATGTGAACAATGGATCATACACTGGGTACCCTGCTCTAATGTATAACATCTAACTTCAGTAATACCATCACTTGCATCTCACAAATGCGAACGGTTGCCTTCATTATTTGCAATGCGCGCCTTGCGCTTGTAAAGTCATTGCCCAAGTGCCTTTTGCAGATTTTCAGCTAGCTTATCCATGAATTCGAATGTTTCTAAGTAGTCGCTACGTTGCACTTTGTTCATGCCCTTGATACAAATAGCCAAATCCTTGGTCATGCTACCCGATTCGATGGTGTCAACGCACACCTTCTCCAGCGTTTCGGCGAACTTTTTCAAGCTCTCGTTTTTGTCCAATTCTGCGCGATGCAATAGACCACGTGTCCAGGCGAAAATCGATGCAATGGGATTGGTTGATGTCTCTTTGCCTTGCTGATACATACGGTAGTGACGTGTAACAGTACCATGTGCCGCCTCTGACTCGACTGTCTTGCCGTCCGGGCAGATCAGCACTGATGTCATCAAACCCAACGAGCCGAAACCTTGTGCAACCGAATCCGATTGTACATCACCATCATAGTTCTTACAGGCCCACACAAAGCCACCTTCGGATTTCATACAATAAGCGACCATATCGTCGATTAGACGATGCTCATACCAGATGTTTTGAGCCTCAAAATCTTTCTTGTACTCTTTGTCGTAGATTTCTTGAAATATGTCTTTGAAGCGACCATCGTACTTCTTCAGAATGGTGTTTTTGGTACTCAAGTAGAGCGGCAATTTTCTTGCGAGAGCATACTTCATGGAAGCGTGCGCAAAATCAACGATCGAATCGTCGGTATTAAACATGCCCATTGCGACGCCGGAGCCTTTGTATTGGTATACTTCATGAGAAATGGTTTCGTTGCCTTCGGCGGGCTTGAAAGTCAGTGTCAATGTGCCAGGGCCGGGCACCACAAAATCTGTAGCCTTATATTGATCACCGTGCGCATGACGACCGATGACAATGGGTTTCTCCCAACCCGAAACCAGGCGTGGAATATTCTTACAAACGATCGCTTCACGGAACACTGTGCCGCCGAGAATGTTACGAATAGTACCATTGGGTGATTTCCACATTTTCTTCAGTTTAAACTCTTCGACACGCTTCTCATCCGGCGTGATAGTTGCGCACTTAATACCAACATTGTACTTCTTAATCGCTTCCGCGCAATCGACGGTGACTTTATCATCGGTTTTGTCGCGATTCTCCATGCCGAGATCGTACGTGTGTAATTCGATGTCGAGGAAAGGTAGGATTAGCTTGTCCTTAATCGAAGACCAAATGATGCGAGTCATTTCATCGCCGAGAATGTCAACAACGGGACCAGCACGAATTTTTGTAGCCATCTGAAAGGTAAAAGAGAGGTAGTTGGTTAGCAGTTGATAAGC